ATTCTATTCTATTCTATTCTATTCTATTCTATTCTATTCTATTCTATTCTATTCTATTACACAAAGTGTTTTCTGAATAAAGATTTTAAAAATCCAAGGCAAAGCACATTTTCTTTCCTAAATTTTATTTCAGTTACAATATTTGTACAGCATATAGACTTCAATTCATTGGCGAGATAAGATATTTTTGATTATTTGACAATCCTATCTGCAGTAGGCAAGAAACACTTACTATCCTCCATTTTGAAAACGAAGTATATTTGAGCCACACCACTAAGTACAAATATTCAACCACATTTAAATAATTATGATAGCCAAAAAGTTACCTGCTACTTAGTCAAATTTATATGCACTATGTTACCTGAGCTGGTGGATGCTGGAGATTTGCTGCGTCGCGATGGACCTGGGCTCTTGGTGGTGCTCCGACGTGGTGTTGAAGCTATTTTGGTATACGAAGTAGATTTCACTACACGACATTCTAAAAGTCAGATAAATAGCATTCCATTAGTACCCTGAACAGCATTCTTATTTCTCAATATGATTTATAGGGGGAAAAAGATCTTGAAATTATTCCTTGCTGTCCTTCATAAAAGTGTGGAAATCAAAACCCATGACTTTCCCAGATTCTGTGGTGCAATCCACATTGGTGGCCTAATTACAAAAACTCAACTTTCTTTAAAGGGTCAACTTAGAAGGAACAACTTAAAAATGAAAGCAGTTGAAGAAACTGCTGCAGATAAATGGACACATTGCACATAAATCTGAATAACCATGTCTTCCAGTCCTCCTGTTCGTCATTTGGATTTGCAGTCATGTGTGAAGTACAGCCAAGTATATCTGAAAGGATGAATCTGAAATTTATTTCCATATATCAAGAAAGATACATAAATCCTTCTGTCTGTCACACAATATTTTAAGAAAAATGTAATATGTTTATTTTTCCTATATAATTTGGTGAACACAATAAAACACAGTGTGTATTGTGGGCAGAACTAGACTATTTCAGATTTTCATAACAAATGATGAAAATCAATGAAAAAAATAAAATTGCCCTCCCACTTGGGAACAACTCTGTGTCTATAAATGTGCTGAAAACCACATCTGCAATATGAATCTTTGACTAAAACTTGAAGAAATCAAGTTCATATGAAAGCTGATAGAATGAAGTTATAAAATATTTGTCCAATATGTAATTGAAGTGGAAAAATATGTAATTGGGGAAATGGATCCAAGTGAGTCACTTGGGAAAAAAATCATAAAATATGAAGTTGACTTTTGGGCAAGTATGCAGAGATCCTTTTGTCTGGTTCTTGTAAGTTCTCTCGTTCTGGTGGTTTAGATTCCACTTTGAACCATTTCAGGGTAGATGTCAACTAAAAAGATACTCCTTTGGTTGTTTTGGCTGCCAGAAAAAGGGAGTGGGGAGAAAACAAGGCATTCTTGAAATGCCTAGATAATCACCTGGGCAGCCCAAAGTTGTCAGAGCATAAGAAGGTTATTGGAGAGCATGATGGAGATGGATGTGTCCCATTGGAGAAGTCACATCCGGGGGTGAGGGAAAGACCAGGGTCAAGGGAGAAATGTATGATGTAATTTAGTATTGGCTGCACCCAGCCATGCGCCAACATGGCAACCTCTAATAAATCAATTTTCTTTTCTCTGAGATGTGGCTGAGACCTTTGATTTGAATGAGGGTGGATTTGTTGGAACCCTGACAGTAGATTCCACATCTACACCATGTAAGGGCTGTGACAGTTTATTACTTATTTATTATTATTTAGCATATGAGGAGAACGTGGCAGAAGAGAAATAAACTTATATACACAGTCCACATAATTAAAACTTCTATGGTAGTGGCCTGATAACTAGATGTCCAAAATTCAGCTGTCCAGGCAATTGCCTCTGGTGTTGCTTCATGCAGCACTTCTAGGCAACTGGTAATACCTAGCTGGGTGTATTGTTTTGATTTGGAGCATCAAGGTTTAAATAATTAAGTATCACATTAAACTTGCATGCCATCCAGAGACATAGTTGTGGGTGGTCATATAAATCATTTAAATGAATAAAATAAGAAAATAAACAAATAATTAGATAATTAAAGTAATCTTAATAGTTAACTGTAGAGGTTATTATCATTGTTCCTTTACTAGGGTCAGATCACTTTCTGTTCCAAATGCAATCAATTACCATCTGTCTCTTCCACGGGACCAAATTCATTCAAATGGCCTGCCTTTATGGACACAACTAGTTTAAGTGAGTGCTTGGAGATATCTCCAATAATCTAGTGCAGGGCTGTCAAACTCCTGGCCCATGGGCCGGATGGGTCATGCACTGGACATGCCCATGTCTGGTTTAGCGAAGGGGGGGAAAGTCCCAATATGTCATGTGATGCTGCTGTGATGAAGTGAGTTTGACACCTCTGATCTAGTGGGTGAAGGTCCTGGTTCTTCAATGACAAGAATTGGCACTTGGAGCTATTGATGAAGTTGCTTTTAAGCAGTTTCTTTTTGCCAACTGATCATCAGTATCTCCTTTATTTTTGGATGCCTTCTGTAAGGTATTTGGGATATTATACCACCAAATTTGTGTCATTTTAGATATTTGATTTTTGATTTTTTTTTTGTGCTTTGCTTTTTGTGGCAAGCCATTATGAAGGAATGTAGACCTGGCCTTGGGAAGGGGAAAAGAATAAGTCAACTATTAATGAAGACTTTCAGAAAAAAATATTTAGTCTCAAGAAAGAGGGAGGAATAACAAAGATACTCAAAATAATGCTTTCTTTATTTTGTTTGTCATAAGATGGAACAAAGAGAAACTCTAACATGTTATCAAGATTTTGTTATTCTTAGAATTCCTGCTGTGTCTGTTTCAGAACCTTGTATATCTCAAAGGGTTGACTTAAGTCTCAAAAGCCCCTCTCCCATTGGAGAGGCATCTGGCATAGTGTTTCAAGATAGCTGAACAGGCAAAGGAGAACATGAACAATTGGAAAGGAGGATACACTAACTTGTTTAGCTTTCTTGGCATTGGTGACAAAAAAATACAATGAAAAACAGAAAAACGAAGTATTTATGCCTATCTGTATATTAAATTACTTTTTCCAGCATCCGAAAGACTCATTTTTCAAATGCAGGAATGTGCTAGAGATTAGGAGGCAAATGACTTCTGTTTATAGCTTGTTAAGCTTTTGTTAATTTCAGGCCATAGTACATGCATGTTTGAGGGTACTAATTAAGGTCAAGGAGCAGAGCTTATTAACTTGTGGTTAGCATTTATCAGGAAAGCACTGTGCTGTAGAGGAAAGCTGCTGAGGAACAGATTCTTTGTAGATATAGGTAGTCCTTGAGATACGACTGATTATTTTATGTTCACACATTCCCAGCCATTGTAAATAATTGCACCATCACTCTCGCATCACCCTCTGTCAGCTTTATGACCCCTTGGGGTACTCTGCATTCACATGACAATTATTTGTGATGTTCCTCACTGGTTTCTAGAGTTTTTTGCCAGTTTCTCTCAAAAACCATCCATTCAAATGAATGGATCCGCTTGATAACCACAGCATTTGCTTAACAATCATACCCCCCCAAAAAAAGCCATAATATTATGTCCAGTCACATGGGTGTCTCCAATTATAACCGTAATGACTTACAACTTGGTTTTTGGTCAAATTATGGTCATAGGTCTATCTGTACTCAAAAAGCCAGAAGATATTTGATGTTAAGGTTATGCCTAGGCTAAACAGAAGACTTGAGAACAAAACAAAGGACATGCCCTCCTTTTTCCAGACATTGGTAATCGTAATTGGACCTAGAGCATGATGACTCATCTTTGAAATACCCTGCTATCTGCAGAACAAGTTAACAAGGCATTATTAAAACATCAACAGCAGTGGGATACACAACTAACAAACATGTACAACTACAACGTGAGAAAGAAACTCAAAATTGTTCTGTCACGGGAACAGAACTGACTCAAGACATCAGCTCTTTATTTGCTCTCAGTAACTTCAACAAAACTGGAGCCGCGGCAGCCTCTTTTATAGTGGCTGCTCACGGCTCGCGGCCAATGACGGCTTCTTAAACTTTCCGTCATCAGGCGGACCAATTACAAAACAGCATTCAAGTATTCAGTAAGGACCAAACAGTAATCAGCATTGGCAGACCAATCATAATGCAGTATTACAAGTATGCAAATATATAACACCCCTCCCCACTTGGTTAGGTCCAACCTACGTTACGTAGTCATGTAAGTAGGTGGGGCTTTTATGGTTCCTACTTGATCTGTGCAATTCAGTTGTGGTGTTTTCTTCGGCTGGTTCGGACGGGATTGCTGTCTCTCCCGTCTTTCTCTGTGGAACCTCTTGGAAGGGTGAGTCAGCCATGCCGCTCCCACCTGGTCTACCTGGGCTGGTTGAGTCGGCTCTGCCACTCCCACCTGCTCTACCCGGGCTGGTTGAGTCGGCTGGGCTGCTTCTTCCAGGAGTGGCTTTGTGTTGGTTTTCCACTGCCAGCTCCCTTCTTCCGAAGTCGTCTGTAGGTAAGTAGTTTTGATTTCTTGACGGGCCTACTGGTGGTGTTGGTTGGTGATTTGTTGTTTGTCATGTTAGTGGAGGGTCTCCCCCTCCCCTTTTATTTGCACTTGATGAATCTCCCCCCTCTCTGGTTTTATTATTGTCTGGTTGATTTGGTGTTTGTGCGTGGGTATGTTCTTCTCCCTCGCTCCTAGGATTGTCGGTGTTTCTTTCTATTGTTTCTATTGTTCTAGACCATAGTTGGTCTATGTGTCTCTTCCAGCTCCTTCCGTCCTCTGTGTCTAGTCTGTATGACCGGGGTCCCATTATTTGGGTTATTCTAGCCTGTATCCAAAGTGGATCCCCCGTAAGGTTTTTGACGTATACTACTATACATACTATACTATACTATATCTCCCGTTGTAAATGGGCGATACTTACTGGAGGAATCTGGTGGCTTTTCAGGGTTGTATGTGGGGTGCAATCTATCCAGGTACAACCGTAGTTTTCTGCCCATCAAGAGTTCTGCTGGGCTCTTATTATTCACGGTGTTCGGGGTTATATGTTGGATAGTTAGCATTTTATAGATTTTGTCTTGGATGTCACCCGTGTCTAATTTATCTAATGCCTCTTTGGTATACTGAACCATGTGTTCCGCTCATCCGTTTGTAGCCGGTCAACTGGGTTCAGTTAGGGCATGCCGTATGCCCTGTTCGGCGATAAATTTTTCAAATGACAATGCCGTGAACTGCGGCCCGTTGTCTGAGACCAATAGGTCCGGTAACCCATGCGTTGCGAATAATTTTCTTAGTTGTTTGATGACGGCTTCTGTCATTGTGGAGGGCATGATGCTTACCTCCAGCCAATTGGAGTAAGCATCTACTATAATTAAAAATTTATGTCCTTTTGTGGGTCCAGCGAAATCTATGTGGATCCTTGACCAGGGACCCCTTGGTGTCTCCCAG